CCCCTGGCTAGCCCCGCTCCCCCCAACCCCACTCCCCTCCTGGCCAGTCCCCCCCATCTGCCGTTCTGAGATCAAGTGTGTCCGGTATTTTTTTGAAAGCCATCTGGTAACCCTATATACAAACTCTCCTGGGAAGAGGAGCAAAAGACTTAAAGGGACATTTAACTGAGGGATTAATTTAAAAAAATACAACTAGTTTCCAAATAGATCACCCTTTAGGTTATACATTTAGATTTTAAATTCCTTTAGAAAGATAGATTTTTTTGCTTCTTTATATTTATAAAGGTCTCTTCCATAGTTAGTTTCTGCTTTATTTTCACTTTTTTTTTTAAATAAAAACTGGTAAAATAGCATATTTTCTGACAAGTTATTTCAGCTGAAATAACTTGGAGAATAGTTACTATGTTAGATTCAAATTTTTCAGTGATAAATTTGTTTTTCCAGTTGACAGCGTTCCTTCATTGCTAATTATCAGATCTCACTATAGCACTCTGCCAAAACGTCATTACTTTTAACAAATACACCACAAAATACATACCGCTACATTCTAAATTCTAACACTAACAACTCATAATAATCAACAAGATACAACTTGTCATGCACAATGTTTTATGTTGCATTTTTTCTCCTTTTAGCCATAGAACATAATCAACAACTTCTACTGTAGTTGTATGATGGGCAGTTTTGTATTCTCATAGTACCCTGAAGAGGGTAGCAGAATACTAGATTCATAAACTACATCCATCACTGTGAATCATTGACTTGATTAATGAACTAATGTTTCTATCCCCACATTACCCTAGCAGGCAGGTAAACATTTTTCTCATTTTATAGATTAGGAAACTAAAGTCAAAAAACTTTTTTAAAGAGAAAGATATGTATACCTATGCTCACTTTTAATGACCCTGGTTATTAATTAATTCATTTAATTACTAGGCTGCTACATACAGAAGACAAAACTGAATATTTAACTACTTACTGAGTTTGCAGACATCTTTGCTTTATCAAAAGTGCTGAGACAGCAAAAGTGTTTGGAAAACTTGGGATAACCTGTGAATATAGACAAAAGCAAAAAATACACATTCATAACATTCTGCTTAGAGCTGGCTGAAAAACTTGTGAGCAGTTTTCAGCTGGATAATGCCATTTCCACAAAATTAACACATTTTGCATGAATAGATGATCTCAAAATTAATAATAGGGAAGTACTGAAATATGTATGTAATATGTAAGAATGTTTTGATCTTATCAAACCAATAAAGGTTAAAACTAAATATTTCAGATTATTGCATTTGTTAAATAAACCTAATAGAATAATATCTAAGAGCTAAGCCTAACAGGAAAACTTCAAACACACAACAATATTGTTGAGGAGGATGGTCAATGACTGTTAACTAACAAGAATCAAAACTAAGAGAGCTGTTTCCCTCTCCTACACTATAAAATAAACACGGATTCTAAATTATATTATGGACTAAGAATGAAATGGCATTAAAAAATTCAATTTTCCAAAGGCAATTCAGTTGGATCAACTATGTGCACCCAGGAAAGAAATCTGAAGGAAGGTGCTCTCCGCTAAGCACTCCTGTTGTGAGCAGTGAAGGAGAGGCAGAAAGGAATGTTCCTGTTCAAGTATAAGCTCAAAGTTCATCTTTACATTCAAGATAAAGGCGAACAAATGTGCTTTATGAAATTTAAACACACTGATGCAGCCTTAACTATTGTACAG